ACACATTCTGCTTCATAACTTATTTCCTTTGTAAACATCCCAATGTAAAAGAAAAAATGCTTGCAGAAATTGATTCTATTGTACCTACATTTTCTGATAAATTATCATGTAACGATCTCAAAAAACTAAAATATTGTGAAGCTATAATTAAAGAAGTTAGCCGTATAATGCCATCGATATCTTTTACATTCCGTCACACCACTACTGAATGTGAAGTTGCTGGATATAAATGGCCAGCTGGTACCGATTTTCATTTAAATTTTGCAGGAGGACATATTCACCCTGAGAGTTGGGATAATCCTAAAATTTTTAATCCGGATAGGTGGCTTTATGATAATGATGGTAAGATCGATAGATCTGCTTGGATGCCGTGGGGTGGAGGTAAACGTATATGTCCTGCAAAAAATCTGTCAAATATCGTGTTACTTTTATTAATGTCTTCGTTATATAAAAATTGTAATGTAGAATTAGTGAATGAGCATGAGGCATTGAAAATTCATACTCAATTAGTTTCTTATTGTACAGAGTTGAAAGTTAGAGTTAGTCCTCGAACTTGATTTATTAATTTAGTTTTAGATATTTTTGTTTTTCTTTTTTTTTCACCATTTATATTATTGAATAAAGAATGAATTTGTATGCATTTGTACTATAATTATTCGATGACAAATTCTATTAGCGTAGTTATTATCAAATTTTTATGTGTGAATAATTAATGAGTTTCGAATTCATAATACCGTATTTCCCGACATGAATACCCCGTGGGCTATACCCTGCAGCAATTTAGAGTGCCAAATTTTGATTTATACCTGGTATATAAGTATGGGAGTATCATACTTATGTACCCGGGCATATAATAGTAAAAAATATCAACAATATAGAAGTATTCTCCCCTACACACGTACCCGGGTACTAAAATAGACTAGGGAGATACCACGGGTACACATGTCGGGGAAATACGGTACTATTTCTAATAATAAACTACAATACTGTACACTGCATAAATATTTTATTTGATTTCTTGCTTGCTTTCATTTTAGTAAATTAAAGATTTTTTTTTTACACCAACGAAAACTATGCTCTAATTTTATTCAATTTTAAACTATTTCTATTTGAGAAGATGGCGTTTTGAATGGTATTTACTACTGGGAAAAGTAGTTATTTACTAGGGTAGAGAAGGCACGGGGTCCCCGGGCATGCCTCATGTGTAGTGATGTGCCATTTATATGATACCTGAATTTTTTTAGCGTACAGTACGTACAGTACGTATAGTTGTATAGTGTGTATAACATTCGTAATATACACAATACACGTGGATTTATAAATAAGTTATATGTAACATTTTGCAAGGAACAATTCTTGTTAGAGTGCGAAAGACAGTTTCATAGTCAAAATTTGAGATAGGTATACTTTTATGATTTGTTCTAGAATATTCTAAAAAATTTTTTGCGTACTGTACTGTACGCGGCACATCTCTACTCATGTGCATGCCCATATCATGTGATCACGAAAAAATAACAGCGCATTGATTGGTTAATTAAATCAAATGTAATTTACTGTGCAAGAACAATCTTAAAATTAAATACTGTATCTTGCAAAACGCAAATACTTTAAAAATGTGAGGCTTATGCCAACTTCATAATCTTAAAAAATGTGAGGCTTATGCCAACTTCATAATCTTATGATTCTCCAAATAATTTATCTCAATCTCTTTACGCCTTCTACATAATATTAATGGGGATAATAATTATCTCGCAATCTTATCGTCAACATTACAATCTCTGTGCTCTCTGCACGGTACTAACCGTAATAACTATCTTGCGATCTCAATAATTAATTTATAACAATTATCTCTTAATCGACAAAATCAACCCAAATATGGACTTCTCTAATTTGTATACATATCCTAATTAGGGTATATTGTGAATCTTAAATCTTCTATTTTTGGGGGCTGGCTAAAGCCAGGTACAT